TTTTTTTTTTTTTTAGAGAGCAAATTATAAAACAGTCCACAGAACTGGTCTGCAGAGCCTACAATGAATTATATGCAGCTGTGATGAATCCAACAAATGAATACAAGGAACCAGAAACCATACTACAGAGATCTCCTCATCAAGTTCAGGCGCTTCTCTCATAAGTTGCTTTTCCAAAGAAGTCCACGTTCTATCAATATTCATTGTCTCTTATTTTTGTGCGTTTTGAATTTGGAGTGTTAAGTGACAAGAAGGTGGTGATACAATTGGTTTAAGACATTTAGCGAGAGCCTGGCCATTCCCTTACACTGTCTGTGTTGAGTGCTTTCCAGAACCAAAAAAGAAGATTTAAAATTATTTTGATGGATGCAAATGGAAAGAACTGTTCATGACAGCATGCGGCCATTTTTGGTCAGTAATAAAAATATTCATTTGCTTCTGCTGTCCTTATTCCTTTCAGTAGGATGTTAAATTTGTCTGTTTAATGATCAAGCCATTTTCCCCCTACTTTTTTGCATGCATTATTACTCTATTTTATACTGTATCCTACATTCAGAAAGCATACTAATGCTGCAGTTTTAGTAATCTGATGAACTTCTGAATGTATACAAGTAAATCAGTTTTATATCCTAAAAATGTCAAAATATTTGACATTATGGAGTGTATAGTCTGTGATTATCCAAAGTATGGACTAGGTGTAGAATTATATAGAACCTGGATACATTCCTATAACTTTTTCATGATCCCACAATGCCTACTGACGATATATATTTTAGTGGTCATGTAAACATTTTTTCTTGATTGGATGCTAAGGGGAAGGAACATTTTTATTTTATTTTTAAATGATTAAGTATGTATATTTTCCTTTAAATAAAAATAATTATACAAAGAGAAAAATAGTTTCAAACCTTGCTTAAAAACCATTATTGTAGCCTAGGCAGAGATCATAACTTTAGGTACCAGGATGACTGAAGAGCCACTTTGATGGTGGTCACCATCATATGTTTCCTTCTCATGTAATTAGTGTTATTCTGGATATAGCCTTAGTAAAGAGCTCCTGGGGGAACATACTGATAACATTTTACATGTAAATATGTTGCAGGTGAGCACTGTTCTGCATAACGTTCTATTTTAAATGATTTTTTTTCTTAACACTGCTTTACTGAAGAGGGATTTAATTCTTTACTGTAGGAATCCTTACTTTACCTCTCTGTGGATCACTCTTAATAGGTCTGCAACTTTAAGGTAATGTATAACTAAGAGATGCCCATTAGTGTATAGTCTTTTCTCAGTTTTTTTTTTAAGTCAGCCTGCTCTTGTAGCAATGCATTTACTCAGTTAATAACATGTCAAGAGATTTTAGTGGTTTATATGTCTGCAGTGGTTCTTTTAATTATAATGTGGCTCAGTTTTATTCTCCTCTGCACTGCCAACAGCTCAGACTGCTTCTTGAAGTAGCTCCCAGAAAGATTATGCAGGAGTGTCTGAGGTCATCCTTGTGCTACCTGGCTTTTGAGTGGAGTGAGAAAGAGGGCAGCCCCTGCTTTTCTCCTGTTTCTGCTGTTTTTTGAAGACCAGCCAGGCAGTGTGACCTACTTATATGTAGAACCTTTACATTTGTAACCTACTTTTCCCAAAATAGCTTTTTGCCTCATATTTATGGTTATGGGGATATAGTCTAGCTTCATTTTTAAGATTCTTAAAGCAAAACTCTGTGGAAAGTATTATTATGTAATTATAGTCTGTTGCAGTGCACAGGTATTTTGTACTTCCAGAGTTCCTATATCATAAGGAATTTACTCAATTTCTACTGGCCTAGTAAGGGACAGTGAAAAAATTGCCATACGTTTAAGGCAACATGTGCTTAAGGCAACATGTATTTCCTCCAAGAAAGCCTTTTTGGCAAATCAGATCTGACTATAAGAAGTTGTTGTACTGCAGAAAAAGAAGGCACAATTGAAAACTACTATTTTCCTTGAAAGATGTTAAGTCAGATGCCTTTTTTTCCCATTCAGGTTTTTGTATAGGTGACATATCGTGGAGTTTGTCTCATATTAGCATGGTTTTGTGTAAGGGTAGGCAAAGCAGTTATTCATATTGAATTTGTACAGTATATTTAATTTGGGGATGGCTACTCAGTTTTATAAGTTTAGAAGTTTTATTAATTTAAATTTTTAATATTTTATAGGTTTTATAGTTAAAATATATTCCACATTGATACAAGCTGAGCAACAGATACCTCTCTAATCCAATGTATATGCATAAAAACTAAAAACAGAGAACTGCAGCAACTCGGCATAATAATGCCTAGAAAAGCTAAATGACCTATGAAAAGACCTGTACAATAGTACATGAACTAGCTACGGTGCTAATATTACATGAAACCAATATGTCACTTTTTCTTTTTTGCTGTGTAATATATTTTACTGGCATAAAATTTGAGGATTTGAAGATGTAAGTGTCCTCAAGCTCTTACAATAAATGTCTGTGATTACAATACATGCGAGTGTTCTGAGTTCAGGAGTATAAAATGGAATAATTCAAAAGAAGAGTACAGATTTGAATTCCTCTCATATGAGGCCTTAAAAGATTTCATAAGGCTAGCCCAGCTGCAACTTAAGAACGTCTTAACCGATAAAACACTCCTAAGAAAAACAGTTCTGCAACACTTCTCATTATCAGGTGAAACAACTCTAAAACACTATTGTTAATATAGTTAACCTTTCGCATATATATTGTGCTAACATAAATATCGAGTGTTTTAGAGTTGTTTGTGACTAAAATTATTTATTCATTATATAGAGGTGTCAAAGTTTGGAAATTGCATTAACAAATTATGATTTTTAAGTTATGAATTAGTGTTTATGACACAAAACGTGTATAAGTTGAACAATTTCTTGTATTTGAGAGCTTTGGAAAAAGTAGATGAAGGTTTTCTCCAATCATGGAAATTGACTATGCACTCCGGTAATCAATAGTTTGCCTAAGGATCTGTGAGAACTTACTTATGTTACATGAGACCATACTGAGACTTATCCATGATTTGCCTGAGCTAGTGATTTCAGGTTTTCCTGTTGTTAGTAATGTAGAAGTTATAAAAAGTTGTTACTTTAAAAAAGCTTAAAATTTATAAATATTTTTGTTCTCTAATAGAAGTAAATGGCAACGGATAATAAATGAGAAAAGTCAGTAAAAATGTTAAGTAACTGATTGGTGCTCCCCTCTCCACCTCCCCTCTACCCTGCTTGCCTTTTCTCTTATGAATTTGAAAAAGGGACAAAAAGACTAGACAGTATTTTTGTGGCAATTTTTCATGTTCTTAAAATAAAAAATACCAAATACCATATGATTCTTCTGTAACATACACTGTAAATGAACGCAGTGCCTTATTCACGGATTTCACCATGCATGGGGTATATGAGAACGTATCCACCGCAAATGGCAAGAGTCACCTGTACATGATTTAAAATTTTACAAACAACATCAAGTTGGCTGGAGTTTCAGATACTCTGGAGGATAGGACTAGGACCCAGAATGACCTGGATAGCCTGGAGAAATGGTCTATAATCAAATGAGATTGAACAAGGATAAGTGTAAAATCCTGCAGTTGAGATGGAATAATTGCATGTACAAATAGACTGGGAAATGATTGGCTAGGCTGAAGTACTGTAGAGAAGGACCTCATGGTTATAGTGGAACCTAAGCTGAATATGAGCCAGCACCCTCTTCTTGTTTCAAAAAAAGGACAACAGCATATACTGGGTTGTATTAACAGGAATATCACTTGGAAATGAAGGGAAGTAATTTTTCTGTTCTATTTGGTACTGAGGAGGCCTCACCTGGGCTAGGGATAGAAGTTATACATTAACTAGTTTAAGTAATCAGAAACTGGTTTAAACCTGTAACAGAACAGAAGTTTAGTGCACATAAACCGGTTTCAAAATGGCTGAAACTGGTTTAAGATAAACCTGGTTGAATGTAATATCAGAATTAACTGATTTGGGTCAAACATGTTATGAAACATCTGTCCCAGACTCCTTCCTGGATCCAGTTAAATCACAGTCCCCAAGCATCTCAACATGCTTTCTAGCCTTGGGTTGGGCTGTGCTGCCTGCTCCAGCAGAGGGGTTGTGGGGGAGAGCAGGGACTGCCCCCCCACCCCTGGCAACCCCCAGCTGGAGTCTGGGGCCAAGGAGGGGGGTTAAACACCACTTCCCATAGTTAAAGCCCCCTTCCCCTGAGTACAAAGCTGCTCTGCCCTACTAAACTTACTGGAAGTTACTTCTGGCTGCAACTGTGGACTATAAATCCCAGAGGCACCTGGAAGCAAGAAAAGGAAAAGAAGAGCAACCCTGCAGAGTCACGCTGTGATTTGGGACTGCAAATTCCAGAAACCTCAGCAGCAGCAGGAAATAGGAAGCGAACACACAGCCTATGCTGGCTATTTGCCACTGAGGCATGCTCTAGTGCCTCCCGGCTTCTGGCCTGAGCCACTGCAGGCACTTGGCTGTATTTTCTGAATCAAAAGTTAATGTATGTCCAGTTGTTTCTCAGTTTAATCTCTGTGTCTTAGACTAACCTGCAAAGACTGAATCAATTCAGCCTTGCGCTTTTTGACTGTCTGTACTTAGCCCTGGAGCACTGTGCTCAGTTCTGGGCCCCACACTTCAAGAAGGATATGGACAATTTGGAAAGTCCACTGCAAGCAAAAAAAATTATTAGGGACCTGGGAGGCAAGACTTATGAGGAAAGGCTGAAAGAATGAACTAGGATTATTTACTCTGAAGAGGAGACTTAAGGGAATTGGGTAAGTCTTCAGATACCTCAAGGATAATTGCAGAGAGGATGGAGATGGATTTTTCTCTGCCACTGTAGGGGACAAAATTAGGAGCAAGGGCCTCAAGCTTCAGCTGGGAAAATTTAGGTTGTAGATTAGGAGGAACTGTCTGCCTATGAGGATGGTAAAGCATTGGAATAGGCTACCTAGAGAAGTTGCGAAATCTCCATCCTTGGAAGTTTTCAAGAGCAGGTTGAATGGACACTTGACTAGGATGGTTTAATCAGGGATGATCCTACCTTTAATCAAGGATGAGCAGAGGGCTGGACTAGATGACCTCATGAGTTCCCTTCCAGCCCTGCTTTCCCATGATCCTATGATCTTAACAAAGGGCTCAGTCCTACTGGCACCTTTGATGCAGTTTTAATTGTGAGCAATACCACAAGTATTGTAACCAATGGGGAAACAATACAACTCATTTATTGTTGGTAGAATCTGTGGTAACATTTATTACAGCTGTTCTTAGTCTGGTGGGGCTGAAGTTATTCACCTACTAGTGGTTCTACTACGTGTAGGTCTAATCCTGCATACATTGTTTTCCTTTTCCTCATAAATTATATATATTTATGTACACACTGCTGTGAAAAATGCAATGCCCAAGTGGCTTTCATAATCATATTTAATAGTAACAGGAGCCATGTTTATGCTTCTTGTACAGTTAAACATGTGCTATTAGATGTTATGAATAGGTAATTTTACATATTGCTGCTTGTAGGCTATAATTGTGTAGTTCCTCCTGTCATGCTGAAATTACAGTGTGTATTGTATATGTGTCTTTTATCCTTTGTAGCAGCCTTTAGCCATAGAAATTTAGGGATAATTTTTCATAGTCCTTATGCACTTGTTATAGGCTTATGATCTGGAATACTGTACCCTGATACATAATGCGAGAATTACATTTCAAATTTCTGCAATGCAGGGCTTTAAATACAACTTGCATTTTTACAGCAG